CATATGGTTCAGATACTTGGCTCTCAAGTTGATAGAATTCTGATGGTTTGATTTTTTTTTTTAACTGTAAAGTGTAAGAGCCATCTGCTGTTGTTTTCTGTACATGATCCTGGTAAGTTATTAATTTTAGTTATTCTGCTTTTATACAATTAGCACAGCTCTATTACATGGAGGTTTCATGACAAACCTGGGTAGATGTCATGTGCGGTAGTTACGTATGTGGAGCGTGTGAGTCCACTCCAGATTCCCTCCACAAATTGCAGCAGAGTTGCCTATATACAGTTAGTTACAGTTAGGGGTAAAGGTGACTTCTGTGTTAGTTAATTAAATGCTTTTATTGTAGTACTCCATTTGATTGATTGAGGATACTGCTTAGGAGAAAACCAAATAGAGTGATGTGATAGTGATGCCATGGGTAGGGGTGGGCTGTTTTAATTAGGATTACAGAAACCCTCAAAAGAGGAGAAATTTGAGTTGTGATCTGAAGGATGTTAAGCCAGATAATGATCTATAGTGAGAGATTTCTGAGTGGAATGGAGAATTAAAAGCAAAGACTGTGACTAGGGGAATGAACATGGCATGTTCATGGTACTGAAGGAAATCCAGGTGGGTTACACTGTAGTGAGAGAGAGAAGAATGCAGAGAGATGAAGTCAGAGAGGGTCTAGTCTAAGTATAATAGGAGCCACTGGAAGGCTTTAAACAAAGGGATATCGTCTGATTTACAATTTAGAAAGCTAACTCTGCTGCTAAGTAGATATTGTATTGTTAGGAGCAAAAATGAAGGCTGTATTGCTGTCCGGGTGAGAGATGGTGGTAGCATGGACTAAAGTTATATGGTATTGTTGTTGTTGTTATGTGCCGTCGAGTCGGCCCCGACTCATAGCGACCCCTCCTTGGGTTTCTGAGGCAGTATCACTACGGAAGTAGGATTGCCCAACCTTCCTTCCGAGGGGTGACTGGTGGGTTTGAACCGCCAGCCTTCTGGTTAGCAGTCAAGTGCTTTAGCCACTATGCTACCAGAGCTCCCAAAGTTATATGGTATAGATGGTACAAAATGATTGAATTTGGGATATATTTTGGATACAGAATCTACATGACAGACTGAATCTGAGTCATGGTTAATTGGGTGGAGACTTTCTTATTCAGATATGTAGGTCTTGCTGGGGTGTGGTTTTTACGGTGGAAATCAACAGTTCTTTTGGGCAGTGAAATTTGAGATGGTTAATGGACATCCAAGTGGAATGTCTAGTAGATGATTGAGTATATGAATCTGAAACTTAGGCGAGAGATGAGGCTTGAAATGTTTATTTAAGTTACACTAGGGTCGAGTGTAGACAGAGAGGTGGCTGAGTTCTGGGGCCTGGAAATACTGTCATTTGGAAGCCTGTAAGAGACATTAGCAAAAAAGACTGACAAGGAAGAGCTAAAGAGATTGGAATGAATTGAGGGTTGAATGGACACCGATCTGAAAGGAAGATGTTTCTTTTTTTTTTTTTTAATTTTTATTGTGATTTGAGTGAAAGTCCACAGAGTAAACTCACCTTCCATATAGCAGCTCACGTATACCCCATCTCACAACATTGACTGCAATCTCCCACAATGCAACATCTCCTCCCCACAGCCACCTCTTCCTTGTGTCCCTCCCTCCCATGCACTTCCACCCCCCAAGCTGTCCCCCTGTGCATACACAGCCCTTCTACCCTCCCATGACTGATCTCTCCAAGGAGTGCATCTACCCAGTGTAAATGTTCAGCTCATATGCCTGTCCTTGATTTGACTGGAAGCCACAGGAGTGGGTTCAATTCCAGACCTGAAGGGCAGCTAGGGGCCACAGTCTCAGTGGTTCCACCAGGCTCCATCAGACCAGCAAACCTGGTCCCTCTTTTTTTCTCTTTTTTTAAATAATTTTGAGTTTTGTTCCACATTATTCTCCCACTCTGTCCAGGATCTTGAAAGAAAGGTGTTTCAAGGAGCAAATGTGACTTCATCATTTAGGTGCAAGTGTTGGAACGCCACACTCATGTTAAAATGCAGTTTCCAGAGTGTATTTGTAGCTGCAAACTCAGTGAAAACTAATGCAAGCTAGGCCTAGCACCTGCCCACAGAATCCCTGAGCCTTGGTGGGATGAGAAACAGGGAGAAAATCTTTTCTTCTTGGACTTCAGGAGGCACAAGTCATTGCTCAAGTCTCCACCTAGTTTGTGAGATTTTCATACCATTACCAAAGATGCAACGAGTAATTGGTATCTTCTTCTTTTTTTTAAATGACAATTGGACATACAGCTGGCATGTCCATGTCACAAGTCAATACTTCGAAAATATTAAGAAACTAAACGCTGATTAATCTCTTCTACAATTTTAAGATTCACTACTGATAAAAAGCCTATAACTAGCCCAATCAACAAAAAGAAACAAAAATTGTTTATATCTTTATTTAACCTGTTAATATTTAGTCCTGACAAGATAGATTCCATAACACTTTATTTTCTACCTTTTATCATTTCACAATATCAATCCAGCCTAATGACTTGAAGATAGTTTCTGTTTGGCTGTTAATTCCAGGTTATGGAATTTTTTTTTTTTTTTTTTTAAATCTGTTTGTCACTTGACTAATGATGTTATTTAAATGAGGAGTAGAGATTCCTCCCACCCCCTTTTAAAGTGTGCCATACACTATAGTGTAATAGGTTAGCTCCCATCATCCCCATACTAAGTGTATTTTCTCTAGAATCCAAAACATGATTGTACGGTAAACAATCAATAAACAAAAGTTTATCTGGGTGATTCTCATTGAGTTTGGAGAAGTAGTGAATTTGTTTTAAATTAATCTAAGGTGCATTTTCTTCTCAGAAACCTCAATGGATGACAAATACTTAAGGAAACTCTGTAAATGTTTACTCTTACCTTTTATCCTATTGGCAGGTAGTTGAATTTTATAAATAGATGTAGCTAATAAGAATGTAGTTGGTTGATAGTTGGCAAGAAATTGTGGTAAGAAATATTCTCTTAGTTATTCAGATAAATACTTGATTCATTAAATGTATGAGATTTGCTGGGAACAAAACATCGGAATGTCTATATGGGTCTTTTCATGATTTTAACACGATGACTGTGGTTCTGCTTTTTTGCATAAAAACAAAAGACATAACAAAAATCCCAAGTTCTCTGTTTTTTAAGACTGAATTAGAAATAGCTTACTTACCTATTTGATTCAAACTCATTTTCAAAGAAGAAAGCTCAAGCATAACCCACAGAGAACAGGACCTTCCCCCTAGTCCAGTTCTATGAGTTAAGTCAGTTCAGCAGCTATGTACTTATTTTTGTGTGAAGGTTATAGGATGTAACAAGCCTTGCCCTTGGATCCCTTGTGAGCAGTTATCTTTTCGAGGAGTCAGACTGTTCTTGTGCAGGTCCTGGTGTCCAGGGCTGCTCATGGGAGGAGCAGGGTGGGAGTAGAGGAGGCTCTGGGCTCTCCTTTGTCCTCTCTTTGGCTTTTCCCCTGCTAGTTGGGTAAGATGAAGAAGAAGGGCAGCCAGGGTGGATGGGGCTATGAGAAAAGGCAGCAGAGGGCTACTCTTCTTGGTGGAGAAAGAAATGCTATTAAGGCAGGTTTTTTGGAGGGAAAAGGCAGTGTCTGCCTTATCCACTACCTGCCCCTAGTGCTCAGTGCCACACTGGGCACATAAATATTCAGTACTCTTTGTTGAACATCGAGTGATTGGGGGTCATGGCAGAGTCGCTTCCCTTCATCTGTACCAGCTGCATTCTTGAATTGAGCCAAATCCCAAGACCCCACAACTGGGAAAATCACTCTGATGTACTGTACAGAGGACCATCTTTATTTCAGAACCACTGAGGGCACCCCTTAAATACACGAAAGAAAACAATAGAATTCTTTGGGAGACACTTGCCTTCTCCACAAAGCAATGTTGTTGGTAGCTGCCATCGAGTTGACCCCAGCTCATGGTGACCTGCACAGTGGAATGAAACATTGCCTGTCCCGCACCATTCCCACAAACTGGTTAAGGAGCAGACCATTGTGATCCATAGGGCCTTCACTGACTGATTTTCAGAAGTAGATTCCCAGGCCTGTTTTCCTAGTTTGTCTTATTCTGGAAACTCCGCTGAAACCTGTTTAGCACAATAACTACACGCAAGCCTCCACTGATTGGTGGCTGCAGATGAGGTTCATTGGGCAGGAATTGTACCCAGGTCTCCTGTATGCAAGGTGGGAATTCTACCCCTGAATCATCACAGTACCCCCTCCTCCATGAAGCAATAATATCTTTCTAGTAAGTGCAGTTTCTTAAAACTGATATGTCACCTTCTCATTGAATAAAATGCCCTGCGTGAACTGGCTTCTCATTTCCTTTCTACCTCATCTGATCCTATACTCCAGCATCTTGGACATGTCAGGCTCTTTGTTATCTTCATGGTCCTCTGCTTGGAATGCTGTCCCACCACTCTTCACTCCTCAATCCTTTAAAGGTCAGCTAAATGTTACTTCTTCAACAAAGTATTCCTCGACCTCTCTATCACCTCCACTGTCCTATTATTTTATTTTAGGCTGTTTGCATTTTCTTATGTGTTTGCTTCCTGGTTTATTAGCTCTCTGTCCCACTCAATCATATGCTTCATGAGGGCCTGTATTGTTTTCTGATTCGGTCAGCATCTATCTAGCCCTGTGCCTGGCTCAGTGTAAGCTCTCAATAAACATTTGTCCACATGATTGAATAAAAGACCGGCCTATCTTTCATCAGAAAAAAAACCTTTTAATTAAAAAGCTTTTTTTTTTTTTCGCTCTTAGATTCTCATTGGGACACACAATGTATGGATGATTCATGCTGTAAAAATTCCCTAGTCTTCATAAGGCATTGCCTTAAAGAATAGGGTCAATGATCTGGTGCCTATTGTTGAACTATTAATATTTGTGTATTTTTTAACCTAGGCTTCTAACATGTTTTCTTAGCCCTTTTCTTTCTTTTGTCTGTTTTGTAGCAAGGGAAGCCATATGTCTTCGACAGAGTGCTACCTCCTAACACGACCCAAGAGCAGGTTTACAATGCGTGTGCAAAGCAAATTGTCAAAGGTAAGTGCTGTTTCTTTATTTCCTCCTGGGCCTTTCACAGTAATTGAAAACATTAAGTGATATTTGCAGCCTAGGAATCAATGTGCCTTGGCTGTAAGCAGAAGCCCGCTAATTGGAAACACTGAATTATGGCTTTGGCCCTGATTTTTTTATGTGATGTCAGTCAAGCTATTTAACCTCTCCATGCCTCTTATCCAAGGAGATTTCTTTCTTTTGCCACCTTTTTGGCAGAGTTATTCTGCCACCTAGAAACTTCAAAGTCACATAAGCTATGGTCATACTATTCCTGTAATAGTTTTAAAATGCTGCTGCAGGTTTTGTTGTTAGTTGCTGTGTGTCAGCTCTGACTCATGGTGACCCTGCGCACAACAGAGCATCATGCTGCCTGGTTCTGCGCCATCTTTATGATTGGAACACTGTATTGGACAATATTCTTTTGTGATCCGTATTATTTTCATTGACTCAATTTTGGAACTACATCACCAGACTTTTCTTCCTAATCTGTCTTAGTCTGAAAGCTCTGCTGCAATCTGCCCATTGTTGGTGACCCTGCTGGTATTTGAAATACTGAGGCATAACTTCCAGCATCACAGCAACACGCAAGGTGCCACAGTATACAACACACGGACAGGTAGTGGACTCAGATACAGGATTTCTTTTTTCCTTTAAAGGAGAAAGTGTTTCTTTCTGATGTGCTAATCATACATTTTTGGCTTATTTTGTGCATCTGTGTCCTCTTTACTTGTAGCTCTCAAAAAGAAACCTTAAGTGTGCAAAATTCTTGTGCATCTAGGAACTTTCCACAGCATCATAAAATCATTTAACTCAGTTGTTCATTGAGCTGTTCTTGCTGCTCAGCATTCCTTAATTATACTTTCATCTAACCTACTTTCAGCATCTCACCCAGATCCTGACATTTGTTCCTTCAGATAGGTAGTGTCAAGCCTAAATTTGTGCCTTTGAGATTAGTCGTTTTTTCTGGGACTGGCTTTGGCCCTAGAGGATTTGTGTCAAAATAACAACAGGGAGATGAAGCAATTTTCACATTTCTCCACCTGCCCTTTCAAATCAGGGGCAGGTTGGAACTTGCCTTGCAGAGCTCGCCATCTGGACAGAACTGGGGGGCATCTCCTGCTACTTTGCATTTCATCATCAAATCCTCACCTTCAAATTTGAATGCTGTGGCAATTGCGCTGTCAAATGTCTCGATGCTGCCACCTTTCTAGGTAGCTTTAGATTTAAAAAGCAAAAACTGAAAACAAAGCCTAAAGAACCACCTTGTCATGTTAGATCTGCTTGTTTTCAGAAGCTGAGCTGGCCAGCCTATTTGAAATTCATAAAAATCAGCCCTGAGTATATCTGTTAGATTAATTGTGGCCGTGGATACCTATGTGGGAGATGTGCAATAGTATGTAATGTTCTTTGCTGAGATGTATGTTTATTCACATTCCTGTTGCAGACATTTAATTTTGCATGTCTTCACAGTGAGGTTATTGTAGAAAACTGAAGAGGAAAATGTATCTGAATACGAGCTCTTTTTCAGTTAATTGAATGGGTCTGTATCTGGTGGTAATTTTTGTTTACTCTCTGCTTTTACTCTTTTGTTTCTTTTTCTACCAAAATGTATTTTCTATCTCTTGTTGGATGGAGCTTATCTTTCTTGGTTTGTGCTTACTCATCCACTTTACCTTTTATTATCCAGCCCTTTCATATTTTCATTACGGTAAGACTAGTCACATTTGGGGAGGAGCTCTGGTGGCACAGGATTAAAGGCATTCAGCTGCTAACCAAAAGGTGAGCAGTGAGAACCCACCATTCTGTGGGAGAAAGGTGAGACAGTGTACTTCCGTAAAGATTAACAGCCTTGGAAACCTTAAGGGACAGATCTACTCTCTCCTATAGGGTTGCTATGAGTCGGAATTAGCTCAGTGGTAGGGGGGTTGGTTGGTTTCAAACGCATCTGAACCAGTGTTTTCTTCTTTTTTCTCTCCCTCCCCCTTCATTATCAGAGGAGTCCCTGGGTGGTACAAATGGTTAATGTAGTTGGCTGCTAACCAAAGGGGTGATGATACACATCCACCCAGTGGTGCTTCAGAAGAAGCAATCTACATTTGAAAAATGATCTATGGAAAACCCTGTGGAACACAGTCCTACTCTGACACACATGGGGTCGACATGTGTCAGAATCAACTTGATAGCAACCAGATTTACGTGACATTATCAGAACCAAATAGCATTTTCTATGTGTTGTGCTAAGCCTACAAAAAACCAAAACAACCCCTGCCATCCAGTCGATTCTGACTCATAGCAACCCATAGGGTTTCCAAGGCTGTAAATCTTTACGGAAGTGGATTCCCGCAGGTGCTAAGCCTATGAACCATTAAGATATATATACCTGCTGACCTTAGAAATAGGATGAGTGAAATCCATTGAAAAAAAATCTGTGGTTAACAAACAATAACAGTCTTTGACTCTTCATTCACTAACAAAGTTTGGATCCCTTCCAGTGTTTGGATTTTTCTGTATTATGAAATGTCAGAACTAGGCAGTCCCAGGGAGGTCTCAGGAAGATAGGATCTTACTCTGATGATAAGTTAAAACCCACTTATATGGTGAGCCACAAGGAAAACCATTCAGAATAAAATTAGGCTCTGACATGATATGGTACAATAAATATGGTAAGAGCATACTATCTGCTAGTAATAAATAGTACCTTTTTCTTCCTTGAAATGAAGTTATTAGAGAGATGGGGAAGACTGATTTAACTTTTGAAATATGCAGCGAGAAGTGGCTGTATGTTTCTGCATCAGCAAGATAAAACATGGATATATAGGAAAGAACTCCTTGGAAGACATGACTGAGTAAGGCTCAGGCATCTCTTGCTATGATGATCCTTAAATTAGGGACAGGAAAAGGTGCTATGGGGTCCTTTTTTTCCTAGAGGACAAAAATGGAATCATATGACTTCTGAAGGTCACCATTGTCTCTGTGATTCATGATAATGTAGTGGACCAGTGAGCTTTCTTTTTAAGTCTATCTAAATCCTTAATGTTTTTGAGGATCATGAAGCCTGCTTTTAACAGGATAGTTTTAGTCTCTCTCTGGTTTTTCATTCCCTATAATTACACTGGGCTAGCTTTTAATATTTCAAAAATTTGATTGTGGAGTCTTGGCATCTCCCACATTTCCATCTGGTGTGTGTTTTTCAAAATCTTATCTGAAAGAGCATTTAGAATTCTCCTTCAATTCTTCTAGGAGAGGTTGTAGGGTTTGTGGCTTACCTGCATGGTAAATAAATAGGAAGTCACCTAGGACTTAAACACCATAGTTACTATTGCTCAAGTACCAGTAGCTGTGTTCTATCCTACAGAAGCCATATTTTCATTCCAAATTAACTGGAAGTGGATCATCTAGATGCTAGAGAAGTGGTTTCTTGTTTTTTATTTCCATTTCTGGTTCCTTTAAGCTTCATTCTTTTTTGTTTTAAAAATATTTATTGAAGAGTATTAAGTACTGAATATGTGTAAATGCTGCTGGAGTCATCAAGATAACTAAGACTGTCTACAAGGAGTTTCGAGGACAAGGAGAAAAACAGCCACAAACATAATTATAACCCATATAGGGCATTCTGTGTTTTAAAGGGCAGTGTGTGTAAAATGCTATGGGAACACAGAAGAATGTCACTTAATACTGATTCTGGTGGTGGGTGGGGTAAGAGAGTGGAGAATTAAGAAAAACTTCTTGAAAGAGTGGGTCCTGAGGACTGCAGAACCTAGCAGAGCTGAACAGACTAAAGGGATGTTGTTGTTGTTGTTGTTATGTGCCGTCGAGTCAGCCCCGACTCATAGCGACCCCTCCTTGGGTTTCCGAGGCAGTATCACTACGGAAGTAGGATTGCCCAACCTTCCTTCCGAGGAGTGGCTGGTGGGTTTGAACCGCCAGCCGTCTGGTTAGCAGGCAAGTGTCTTAGCAGCCAAACAAAAGCATGAAGACATGAATTATGTGACTTGTTTGGACAACTCAGAGAGACACAGGGTGTAGGGCGGCATGGTGGGAGATGAAGTTTAAAAAGTTAGGGTGTATCGGAATTTGATGGAAATTGAATGAACTTTGACCTGCAGGCAGCATGGAGCCGTTGAAGAGTTTAGGATGATTTGAACAAATCAATGTTATTATCATATACTACTATTAAGAAAAATAATGTTTATTTAGCTGCTTTTATCTGTCAGACACCCTCCAGGCACTCTACATATGTTACTGCATTTTAAACTTTAACATCTTTATGAGCTGTGAGCATTGTTATCCCTACTATACCAGAGAGGAAATTGAAGCTCAGAAAGATGAAGTTATTAGGCCAGGTTAGTAGGGGGGTAGCAGGGCTGGGGCTGGAATCTAGGTTCATCTGATTTGTGTGCATTCTTCTGTGCTACGCTGGCCCTACTTTTCTGGTGGGCCCATAATGAGCATTAATAATAATTATGATTTATGCATTTTTCTGTCAGGCCATATGGCCTATTAACCAAGCATTGCAGAAAGACAGGGTTAGGAATGGGGTAGGGAAAGAGGAAAGGAGAGAGAATAAGATTTGCACTTCCAGAGCCCCATGGTGGCCCTGGCTGTCTGCTGATAATGAGATGGGTTTCCAGGTTTCTGTTCTGAAGATGTAGTGTGCCCTCGCCTGGGCACAGTGATTGCCCTTTAGGCTGACTGAGCCCAGCATTCTGGGTGGGCCCTGGTGTTCAGCAGGAATTCCCTTCACGTTCTTGGGTCATGGCCTACCTGAGTAGTTTGGTTGGCTGGTGATAGCATTAGGATTCTAAGCCAGGATGACTTATCAGCCACTATTGCTCAAAACCTTGGTGCCATTAGCAGGCCACCATGTCACCATGAGAGTTGGTAGGTGACTAAATTAGCCTCCTCAGGAACACTGATTATATCCCCCCCACCTTCACTGACCGTGGAACTGATTCTTCTGCTCATGTAAAACCTGGACTCAGAACTGAACAAAACCTAGGGCTGAAAACATGGCTTCTGAATCTGCAAGAAGAAGCAAAAAATATTTTCAAATATCCCACTCCTCTCTTCCCTCCTCTCTTGGGAGACAAGAAGGCTTTTCCCACCTGGAGTGGAACCATTCCAGGTTGCTTGATTGGTCAGTGGACGTGTGTTGTTTGTGGTGGGTTGGCCATGGTGCGAGCTGAGGTCACATCACGCCAGACCCCATCACAAAGAAAGGTTCTGTCTTCCTGAGCTGGTTTGCTGACTTCGTGGATGGCATATAGAAATAGTTGTTCTGTTATGGCAGAGACTGAAACAAATGCTTTCCTTGGGCCCAGGAACTGTCATTCAACGTGATGAAAGTGCCTTTTTGTGGGCTATTTAGAGTCGGGGTGGGGGTGGTTGTGGTGGTTCAGCTGCAGTGCAGTGCTGAGCACTGTCTTTCTCTCATGCTGTTGTTCAGGAGCAGCCATTCGGAGGCACCCTTGCTCTCTCGCATCTCAGTGTTCCAGCCCCCTAAAAGCTCTGTTTTCACTTTGCTTCCCTTCCTTGCATCTTCTCTCCATTAAAAACAAAACATAGACTAAAAAAGTAAATAAATACATTAGAGTTTGGAGGAAAATAGAGCACACTGGGTTTGAAGAGCCTTCTCTTTTAAGTTTACCTTCTAATTCAGAATTAGAGGACAACATCAGCTCAGTTCAACCTTGAGCAATAGAGATAGGTTAACAGTGGATTAATTGTAACATGATTGTAGAGGCCAAGGAGAATTTGTTGGAATGGGATTTTATGTGGCCTATTTTGCTTTAAAAAATAAAAAAAAGTATACTCAGTGTTGAAACAGTCGCTGGAAGGAGGATCCTCCAAATATAGTCCTGTGTGCTTCTCAGCTCCTTAGTCTAGAGTGAGCAACACCACTGTGAGCTCTCATTGTCTCATATGTGACCTGGTTCTTAACCTGCAAGAGTTTGATGAGGAACAACTGACTAGGAATTAAAAGAGTTGTGCATTCTGCTTAGTGAGTAGACTGGCTTACTGGGAGAGGAAGAAGCCTGGCCTGGGCTTTGTCCTGGAGGTTGATGGGACTGTTTCCTGTTAGCAGAGCACAGGCTCTGAGCTGGTTTTCCTTTAGGGTGTGGTGGGTTGCTCAGAGCCCTACCCCCTGGGGCAGATGCTTTTGCAGAGTGGCTGCTGTGGTCTAAGCTGTCAGCCCTCTACTAGGAGCACAGGGGCATGACTTGGGCGTGACTTCCTAAGCACTGCTCAACACCTGAGCTAATGGCCCCAGAGTGCTTTAGATGGTCTCTATCTTCTCTTCACACACAGGGGCTTAAGGAAAAGCCCATTCAGTTTTGGGGGCAATGTTGAATTCCTAATAAATAGAAGCTTTAGTATAGTGAATGTGAGTCATTGGTGGTTCAGCGGTAGAATACTCACCTTCCATGAAGGAGACCCGGGTTTGATTCCTGGCCAGTGAAACTCCGGCTCAGCCACCACCTGTCTGTCAGTGGAGGCTTGTGTTACTACGATGCTGAGTAGGTTTCAGTACAGCTTCCAGACTGAAACAGATGACTAAGAAGAAAGGCCTGGTGATATAATTCTGAAAAATTAGCCAGTGAAAACCCTATGGATCATAATGGTCCAGTCTGATCCACACATCATGGGCATGGGGCAAGACTGGGCAGTGTTTGTGTTCCATTGTACAAGAGGTTGCCATGACTTGAGGGCCAACTCAATGGCAGCTAACATTCATACCATGAATGTGGCCAGCAATCCAATTGTCTGCAATTGTTTGTGCTATGAATACAGAGTTTTAAACATACAACTTCTTTACCATGGGTCCCTCTAAGTATATCATAGTCATGGTAGTACATCAACATTTGCTCTGGTCACCATTTTCAGACTTCAGATATCTTCTCTGAGCAAGTGGACATTTTCATGAAAGCTGAAGCTTGAACCTCCAAGCCCTACAGTGTCTTCAAGTTTTTGCTTCCCACTGTTACCAGGGAAACCATCACCAGAAGTCTGATATGTGTGAACATTCTTTTTCTCTCTCAGTATAGCTTGATACAAACTCTTGTGGACTGCTAGGATCTGGGAGAAAAAAAAAAATCTGCCACTTAATTTTTCCTTTTTTTTTTTTTAGCTTCTTAATGGAAAATCCTTTCTTCTTTTCTGATCCTAACTCTTAACAACCTCAGATCAGCAAAATGTGTATTTAAAAAAAAAAAAAAAAAAATTAGGAAACCCCACCAAAAAACTGAGAGGGAGTGAGAGGGAGTTGTTGTTGTTAGGTACCATCGAGTCGGCTCTGACTCATAGTGACCCCATGTACAACAGAATGAAATACTGTCTAGTCCTATGCCAGCCTCACAATCCTTATCACACCTGAGCCCATCATTGTAGCCACCGTGTCAACCCATCTCATTGAGGGCCTTCCCCTTTCTTGTTGACCCACCACTTTACCGAGGGTGATATCCTTCTCCAAGGAATGGTCCCTTCTGATAACAAAGAGGAAAAGAAATAGATTTCAAACTCTATTCTGAAATAGATAGAGCTGGTCTGCTTGACTTTTATACAAGGCCTCTGCCTACCTCTACCCTCCTTACACAAATGAAGAATTTCCTCCTTATGCAGAGATGGCGGGTCAACCAGTTGCCTGTCTAGTCAATTCCAACTCATGGAGACTCCATGTGTCTACATCAGAGTAGAACTGTGCTCCATAGGGTTGATTTTTTTTCAGAAGTAGTTTGCCAGACCTTTCTTTCAGGGTGCCTGTGGGTGGACTTGAACCTCCAATCTTTCAATTTCCAGCTAAGGGAGTTAACCATTTTTACCACCCAGGGAATCCTTATGCAGAGATGATGGGTCAAGGATATTAATTATGCATCCTTCCCCTTTTGGCAATGTTTGTGTGGATGAAAGAGGAACCAGGGAAAGCAGGAGGGAAATGAACACTAAATATATTTTAATCACCTCTGCTGCTTTGAAATAGTTCCCACAGATATTCTTCAGCTCTTCAGTAAAAAGTAGCCTCTATCCAAGTGCCTCCCCTGGTCCCTATGTTTAATGGAAGACAGTCTGCAGTGTGTGTGGGTTTGCACAGTGGGCTCATTGTGTAATTAAAAGACATTCCTGATGCTGATGGGCCTGGACCATCTTGCTAGCATAGTCCCTGAAAAAAAAAAAAAAAAAAAAAAAAAAGGCATTAAATTTGAGTCAGGGCTTAGCTGGTTTCCGGGCTGATTTGATTGTCGCTGTGTGGCTCATTTTACAGAGTGGAGCCCCTTGTTCTTCCCCTCCCCCTGCTCTGGCATAGCTTCATTCTGAAGGAGCTCTGGTGTGGCCTTCACAAAACCCTCCCCAAGGAGTTCACCTGGACCAGTAGTTCAAACCAAAATAAATCAAGTCTTCAGGAAAGAGATTCTATTCAATACTTCACTTCAGAAACTGAGGGCACCAGTAGTATTTTTTCTCCTCAACTGATCTCAAGAGATCACCTTCTAGAAGAAAACTCAAGTATCCTTCTACTTAAAGTGTTCTGCTCGATGTCTCTGACTTAATTGTGACATTACAGAGAGAAAGCTTGCCTGCCTCCTTCTTCATTAATATACTCAGTAGAAATGTGAGGCCCTTTTCATCTATTTGTGGAGCAATGGAGGTCCTCACTTCTGCCTTTATCTCACAATTCTACTTAAAATGCAAATGAAGTTGAAATATATCATTGTGTGAAAAATGAAAGATGGCTCATTTGGAAAAAAGTAATTTAAAAATATGCAAGCAACACCAACATATGGTCAAAGTAATGAATTAATTAAAATTTTTTTATTCTTGCTTGCAGATGTCCTTGAGGGTTACAATGGGACAATTTTTGCATATGGACAGACTTCATCAGGAAAAACTCACACCATGGAGGTAGGTGTGCTGCATGCTACAATATCATTTCCTGAGTTGACTGAATGGAACCTTGCCTTCCAATGAAACCTTGCCTTCCAATGAAACCTTCTTACTGTGCACTAGAGATGGTTAAGGAGATAGTTGGTTACCTTTGGCCAATTTTTTATGTCCTTGAGGAGTTTTAGAATACTGTGAGTAATGAAGTCTCAGGAGGTCAGTATTTTAAAAAATTCTTTATTGATAACCCTGTCAAAACAGTAATAATAAATTCTATTGAAAAATAGTCTCCCACAAACTAAATAGTGGTATGAGTATCCTTATGCACTCCAGCCCCAATGTATCTGAGGAAGCCTATTACGAAAATCGTTCACCCTTAGATGGGCCTCCGGGAGGGGAGGGCAAGTCCTCTTAGCATAAATAAGAATCTGTAGGTCAAATAAAAGAAGTTGGCTTGTAGGCCAGACTCAGCCTACAGACATATTTTTGTTTGGCCCACACAGTGATTTTTTTCTTTCTTTCTTTCTTTTTTTTTTTTTTAAACTGCAGGCGACTTTAAAAATGGGATGATTTGACACAGTTCTAATTTTTCCAAATTCGGTTGAAAATTATGAAAGTCTAGCAACACTGGGTGAATTTCACCATAATATAAAATGCCATCTTCACTAGAGCAGGGATCTTCATTGTCTTGTTCAGGTGAACAATTTTTATTTTTATTTACATTTCTATTTTATTCACATTTCTACTGCCTAGAACAATGGCAGTCCCAAAAAGGGACTTGAAAAAAATACTTGTTAAAATGGTCCCTTGTGGTGGTCAAGGGTGTCCCATGTGAGGGGCTGGGCTCTACAGGGTACCCTAGTTCATTCTGTGCCTATGGTGAATGAATATGAACTTATAGTCAGCACCTTCTTCATTAACTTATCTATCTGGCTCTTGTGGAGTTCCTGGGTGGTGCAAATGATTAAGCAATAGGCTACCAACAAAAAGGGTGATGGTTTGAACCCACCCAGAGGCTCCTCACAAGACAGGCCCAGGCAGATGATCTGTTTCTAAAAGGTCACAGACTTGAAAACCTTCTGGAGCACACTTCCACTCTGTAATGCATGGGGTCACCATGAGTCAGAATCGACTCTGTGACACTTGGTTTAGTCTTAGTTTTTGGTAGGGTCTTGAGGGTGTGACCTCATCTCAAATTGCTAGCCTTGGATCTCTGCAATATCAGGGTATGGCCTCCAGACAAGGCATGTCTGCCAGTGAAATTGGCCCCTTTTATCTCCTTTGGTGGTGTAGTGCTTAAAGTATTTGGTTGCTAACCAACAGGTTGTCGGTTCAAATCTAACAGCTGGTCCATGGGAGAAAGGCAGTCTGCTTCTGTAAAGATTTACAGCCTTGGAAATCCTGTGGGAGTAGTTCTACTCTGCCCTATAGGTTTGCTATGAGTTGGAATCAATTTGATGGCAGTGAGGTTTGGTTTGTCATTCTTTTTACCCTGACTCTCTAAGGCCTTCAGGGCTGGATAGTTCTTCTGAAGGCTGGGCCCACCTGACAGGGAAGAGAGGTGGATACAGTGGTTAGTATAAGAAACTGCACTGAGGAAGTTTGGGGAGTTCAGCTTACAAGCAACAGGGTGAGATGAATCTTTAATCCTTCAAGTTTAGGTTTTTTCATTTACGGTAAACCTCCTGGGACTCTCACTGAGGCAGCTGCTGCAGAATTGGTTTAGCTTAGGAATCATTCCTATTGAGGAGGAGATTGCAAAGGCAGGAGGCTAAAGTCCTCGGGGCTATGATGTTCTGCTCTCACTGATTTCAAGTGTGGATTACAGCTCTGAGGGCTCTCATTTCTGTTGTGTTGATGCACTTTCACCCATTTTCTGAAGACAAAGTGGTTCAGAGAGGTACAGATTAGAGGGAGCCCAAGGTTTACTAGGTTTACTTGCTGCTGCTTCTTGGCTGAGCAGGGCTACTCCCCACCACATCTTCTCTGCATCTCACATTCCACAGCCACACCTTGAAGATGTAGGCACTTTGTCCCTGGTTCTGCTCCCAGCCCTCTTTGTTACTGAACCTCAGACCCTTGACCTTCTAAATTCTAGAAAAATTGCAGTTACAGATTTCCTGAGTGCTACCCATTCCAGTAGCTGTGGCGGGGGGGACCTCCTTTATAGGTTATATAAATGCATATCAGTGAAAGCTGGTGACTCAGGAATCAGTCTGTAGGTATTTGGGAAATTACTAAACTATATACTGGGGAAAAAAAAAAAAAACCCAAAACTTAGGAAGTGCTTCCTGAGTGATCTTTTTAGCTTTGAGACTAATTCATCTTTGTGAAATAAAAGGTATTTGCTAAATGTCAGAAATTTAAACTATCAAGAGAGAGATTTCTTCCCAAAGTAACATCTTATTATTTTATTTTTTTGAAAATGGAGGTAGAAGAGCGCAAAGAGCTAGAATAGCTCTTTAGAACTGAAATTGTAAAATATTTGTTAAATTAGAGTACCTTAAGCTCTCTGTCTACCACTTGTCTGTCAGTTGGTCGTACTGTGGTAGCTTGCAAGGTGCTATAGTGCTGGAGGCTATGATGCCAGCATTTCAAATACCATCAGGATCACCCATGGAAGACAAACTTTAGCAGACTTCTCTCACTAAGAAAGATCTAATGATTTACTTCTCAAAATTAGCCACTGAAAATGCTATGGATCTCGATAGAATATTGTCTGAGATAGTGCTGGAAGATGAGCCCCCTAGATTAGGAGTCACTCAAAATGCACAATGGCTGCAACAATAGGGTCAGACAAACCAATGATCCTGAGGGTGACTCAGGGCCAGACAACATCATGCTCTCTGGTACGCGGGGTCACCATGAGTCACAGCCGACTTGATGACTTCAAGCTACAACAACATGCCGTCTGTGCCTCAGGGTGTAAGCTCCTTGGTGCCTACAGCAGTACATCCACTCAAAGCAGATGTAATGGGAAATAGATTCTGCAGAGACCACACCTCCAGTTCTTTAAATTCTGTGGCATCATCATCCTTGTCAGTTTTAAAAGACTGACTGCAATGAGCTGTTTTTCTTTATTGTTACTTTTGAAGATCACAGATGATGCCTACAGTAAGAAGGGCTATTCCAGTCCTTTCCTAGTGCCACCCATGCCTCTCACTTATTCTGGTTTGTTCTGTAGGATAATGAGAGATTGGGAAAAAGTAAGGGGATATTTTAGAGGAAGATAGGCAAGGAGCTCTATGCTGCAGTCACAGAGACTTGTAGGGACCAAGAAATCCAGGACCCTGGAATGCAAGTAAATGGAAAAAAAGAAAAAACCTGCAGGGTTTGTAGCATCTGAAAGGAGGATTTTATGTATCTCGAATTATACATTGTGATCTTTCAAAGGCTTTAGGAGAAGGGGATATTAACTCCCTGAACGGACAGAGACACATTTTAAAGCTGTTTTTCATTTTAATCTCCCCATTTTCTTGTCTGACATACAGTGGAGATTCTATTACCTTCTATTGAGAGGAACAAACAGATAAGCCTACATAAAATTGGAAAGATTAGCTTCTCACGATGGAACATGTAAGGAAGATTTTCAGTTAAAAAAAAAGAAAGAATATGAAATGCTTAACAGTGTTGGTGTTAAGCTGATAGGATGCGGTAATACACAGAGCCCTGGACTTGTGAAGTCCAAGCTCATGGGGGAAGTCTGCTGGAGGTGCTGGCTGCAGTGCAGAAAGAGGAGGCTTTCTTCTTGTTCAGTGTGTTTTTCTGGGAAGGACTTCTTGTGACTTTCTTCAGCAAACAGATATAGATGGAGAGAGACACCTGGGGCTGTCCTGAATAGTGCAGGCTTCACGGTGCCTGGGTCAAGGCCACCCAGTGATTTTTAATGAGCCCATCTGAGTGCACTGGTGCTCATGCTATCCAGTCTGGCTCCCTGCTATCCAGTCTTAAGTGTTTCAGGAAATTCTGTCCTGCTTAGGAGGTCAAGGAGGCCATTGGGGCTGGAACAAAGAGATTCTTGTTAAGTGGCAAATGGCCTGGGTCTTGTTTCTTCTTTCATAGTGCTCCTAGAAGGTCAGATTCAGAAATGGGAAAAGTTTTTTGGAGAGAACTATACAGGATCCAAGGGGCTCACTGGTGGTACAGTTGTTAAAGCATCTGGCTGCTAATCAAAAAGGTTGGGAGTTCAAATCTACCAGCCACTCTGCAGGACAAAGACGAGGGAGTCTACTTCCATAAAGATTTACAGGCTTGGAAACCCTATTGGGGAGTTATATTCTGTCCTATAGGTTGTTATGAGTTAGAATTGACTCAATGGCAGTGGGTGGGTATATAGGATCCAGCCATAAAAATATTTTTCCTTTTCTCTTTTCTGGGAGAAACACGATGATGAAATGATACATTTCTTTGCTACTCAAGTCCATCCCTGAACCTCCAGTCAAATTAAATTTTTTCTCAATAGGCGTTGCTCTTTCACAGCTCCTATAACTTTGTTTTGTTACTCCCATCTCATCTCTCATACATCCTCTTGGCTATCTTTAAGCATATTTATCTCTCAAGGTTTGTGTTCTCAAGGATGCATGTCATATCAACCCAGTTGAACAGACTTTTCTGTCCTCTGAGTTTCTGTTGTTCTCTGCTTCTTTACCTCCTTTTGTTGCCTGAGCTGATCAGTGTGTGTGTGTGTATTTCATTTGCAAGACAATCAATATAGAAGCAGTGAAGACCTTTCATAATACCTCTCTCTCTGTGTCTCTTTGTCTCTTTCTGTTTCTCTGTGTGTCTCTCTCTCTCACACACACACACACACACACACTTGCCGATTATCTTGGCAGGCTCAGTTTACAGATCATAAGGACTAGATCAAGCACTAAGGTCCTAAACTGTGGTAGATTTGGGTATCACTTCTATCACCATAGGACGTGTTATCATGCCTTCTCAATGGTCACTTCCTTCTCATGTGATTTTGAGGTGGGGGCTTCAGGAACACCTATGCCTACTTCTGCCTTGGTCCTTACCCTGGCAAAGAGCAAACAAAGGGATGCCAATACTTGTATAAGCCAAGAATCAATTGGAAGATAAATGTGTTGAAAAGGAAGACATCAAGGGAGGCAGATTCAGAGTCAATTAGAAATGATTTTTGGATTATCAATCATTCCTCTCTACAAAGGAGAAGCTAAAGGACTATCATGAATTATTAAAGAGCTTTGAAGGGTGTAGATGGGTGAGAGTTTTCCAATTTGACCAGACAGAGATCTGTGTTTTCACCACAAGTAGTATTTCTGCCAACAATTTCCACAGTCGAGAGCACATGATGACCACTCTCTGACTTGTTATATATTTATGACAGCCTATACAGTTAAAAAATTCCCGGTGCTATTATCATATGATACATATTAATGGTATGAGGTAGAAATGTGTTTTCAAACTCTTTAGGACAAATAAGTTCCTAGTTAATGAGAACTTGCTGTGAGCTGAATAATATAACATTTAATGTATCACTAAGTACTTTATATATGCTATTTAATTTTAATTCCACAATAATTCTATGCGGTAGATACTGCTGTGTTGTACTAAGTATCATATGCATGGGAGCAGGGAGAATACATACGTACCAGCTGTGGTGCAGTGAGTTACTTGGTCTGGCTCTTCTAGCCATGGTTTTTGTGGCACCCACCAGATGACTGGGTGGAACTATACAAATAGGAGGTGCTTGTGGCTCACCAAGGGGATTGGATAGCTTGTTAATAATGTAAATAAAGTACATGGAACCCTTGTGGAGGTAGGACCATGGAAATAAGGTATATGGAACCATAATGTGGGGATTGGTCAGTTTTGTCATCCTGTTAGGGTTAAAATGAGCCAGAAGCAGAATGGGGGATCTCATTGCAATCAAGAGGGAAGAGCAGGAAGTGGAGTGAAGCATGTCCTGGGACCCAAGATCCCTGTGCTGGACCTCCTTGGCAGAGAGTCAGCAGAGAGACAGCAGCAGCAATGGCAAGAGAACGAAGAGACCAGCATGAGACAGTGGTGGCATTGCTGGTCTACGGGGCAAGAAGGCTGAGTGCCTTTGGGCAGGAGGCCTGCTAGCAGAGTAGGATGCACTTGTTATTGTGATGCACTTGTTGTTGTTGTTATACACCATCCAGTTGTCTTCGACTCATAGCGACCCCTCCTTGGGTTTCCGAGGCAGTATCACTACAGTAGATTGCCCCATCTTCCTTCTGAGGAGTGGCTGGTGGGTTTGAACTGCCAGCCTTCTGGTTAGCAGTCAAGTGCCTTAGGCACTACGTCACCAGAGCTCCCCTAGGATACACTTAGGTGCCACTAAAGGCAGAGCTAAAAGAGCTTGGTAACACTTATCTGAGCAGGGCAGAAGCCAGGACAAGAGGCTATGGGCCAAAGAGAGGTGTGCTTGAGGGCCGAAAGGAGCCAGTCCTGATGGAAGAATTGTATCCTGAATACCTTCCTGAATATAAATTATAACCTGTTACTTCCCTAATAAATCCCATAATTGTGAGAATTGTCTGTGTGTTTTGTGCGGCCATTACAATGAATTATCAAACCCAGCAGAGAAGTGAGTGCCATGAGAGATTTGCATTTGAAGGAAGGATCTGAAGAGGAAAAAAGAATGACTGTTGGCTTTTTGAATTTCAAGCAAGCAGTTTGGCTTTGGGAGCATCAGGCAGAAAAAGTCACAGCCCATGCGAGAAACTCCTTCCAGGACTGGAAATTAAAAGAAGCCAGTGAGTAGATGACCTTGTATGCTGCTCGCTTGTGACCACTTGGGTCGACTTGGTAGGTGGAAGTGAGGGAAGTGCAGCAATGAAGAAACGGGCTGAGTTTGGCACCCACTGACATAGCTCAGGGAGGCTAGGGATGAGAGAAGAAGGGTTGGTTGGTCTGAAGTCCATGGAGTTGTGTGGACTCTTGAGCCTATGGGCATTGAACTAATCCTTGGGGGCTAGGGATGAGATAGAGACAAGGGGCTGGCTGGTCTGAAGTGCAGGGAAGAGTGTGAACTCCCACGCTGCAACTGGTATTCCTGACCTAGCTTGGATGGCTAGGACTGAGCTGACTAGAACCTGACCATATGAAGAGAAAGATGTTTGACACTGTGATATAAATTGCTGCAATCAGCTAACTTGCTCTGGACTGGACTTTACTTATGGATGCAGATGCTCAAAGTTCCAAAGGAGGAACAGAAGATTCTTCAGAGAAAAAGGAACATGATTGTCTCCTCAAAGTTCTGGTTTGATAAGGATGGGCAGTTTAGAGATTGGATATTTAAAATAAGGGGAGATAAATGCACGAAGTAGCCAGTTTACACACTTTCATGGGTGTGCTTATACTTAAACTGATTGTGAAGGGTAAGTTAATCTTTGAAGAATGAAAGGGACAATGGCTAAAAGAGCCAGGGGGTGACCTGTAGTGCACTAAATAACTTGGTCTGGCTCTTCTAGCCACGGTCTTTGTGGTGCCCATCAGATGACTGGGTGGAACTACACAAATATGAAGTGCTTGTGGTCCAAGGGGATTGGATAGCTTATTAATAATGTAAATAAGGTACATGGAACCCTTGTAGGGGTGGGACCATAGAAATAAGTTGTTTTGAACCATAATATGGGGATTGATCAGTTTTGTCATCCTGTTAGGCTTAAAATGAGACTTCCCCAGGGGTGGGAGAGTAAGGGAGGGAACACTACAAGAATGAAAAAAGAAATAAATTTGTTGTTGTTGTTGTTAAGTGCCGTCGAGTCGTTTCCGACTCATAGTGACCCAATGCACAGCAGAACGAAACACTGCCCGATCCCGCGCCAGCCCCACAATCCATGAAATAAATTTAGAATGGGTGATCTCACTGTCCTCAAGAAAGAAGAGCTGGAGGTGGGGTAGAGTGTGGCCTGGGACCTAAGCTCCCTATGCTGGATCTCCTTGGCAAAGAGACTGGCAGAGAGATAGTGGAAAGATGGTGGCAGCAGTGTCAGCAGAACCGAGAGACCAGCACAAGACTGTGGCTGGCTTGCTGACCTACGGAGTAAGACAGCTGAATGCCTTTGGGCAACAAGCTTGCTGGTGGAGTGGGGTGCACTTAGGTGCCCCTATTGGCAGAGCTAAAAGAGATTTTTAACACTTGCCCAGCCAGGACAGAGACCAGCAGAGAGGCCAAGTGCCTGATGGCATGGCTGAGGGGAGGCTGTCCTGATTGAAGAACTGTATCCTGAGCATGTTCCTGAACCTATATTGTAACCTGTTACTTCCCCAATAAACTCCATAACTGTGAGTGTCGTCTGTGTGCTCTGTGTGGCCATTGCAATGAATTATTAAACCCATCAGAGAAGTAGTGAGTGCCATAGGAGGGACGGTTGGAGCCCGAACTGGTAAAAGGCTGTAGGGTAGTGGCATGTCTGGCTGCATAGGAATAAACCTTGGGCTGCTGATGGTGATTGTCTCTCCCCCTTGTAAAGTTAGAGGAGGTCAGAGGATGCCCTTTTTGGACCAGTCATCCCTGCCTTTAGGAGATATACAGTCTGACTAAAACACAGAATAAAAACACATAAAGTAATTTAAGATTCTTAAAGATGAGAGTGTGCCAAAGAGTACCTGTTTTCCCAAATAACTTTGCTAGAGGGCAGATGAATCTGAAGTCAGTCTTTTTCTTGGTTTTAATAGAGTTTCAGGCTAGGAATCAGATGTGAGGAGGTGGGTTAATAATGTCAAGTTGTCAAGTTGTGGCTGGTATTTAGGGCTAGGGTTCACCTGAGTTCTTGCTTTTGGTAACTCAAATGTTGGTTTGAAACTCAAATTTCTAGAGAGGTACCGTGTGATGAACCCCTAAAGGAAAAAGGGGATTTAATTGAGGAAAAGAAAAGGGATCTCTCAGGGAGTAGACAAATTTGGAACAAGCATATGAGTCAAAATTTTAAAGTTTGTTGGACATCCCTGGAGGACTGAAGAGGAAACTGTGTTTTGTACTTTTCTTCCCATTCCTTTTGCTCTTAGAGTTTTGTAACATTTAAAAGGTGTGGAAGATTTTCCAGACATATAGTTGCCAACTATCACTTCAGACTTGTAGACTGTCTGTCTTCAGATGGATTCTTTAACACACATATAGTAGAACTTACGTTCTCATTTGAGTGTGGCCTGAAAGGAAGACTCATTGGAAGTTGTACACTTACGTCAATGCTCAGGCTATTGCTTTAAATACTTTTGGAACTTCTCCTTAGGAATTGCTTTCAGATCAATCTTTTTGAATGTCTTCCGAAGTGGCAAATTGGGGTCATAGAAATATATTTACCCCCTAGGTAAAATGAATGTTGTTGTTGTTATTATGTGCCATCGAGTCAGCCCTGACTCATAGCGACCCCTCCTTGGGTTCCCGAGGTGGTATCACTACAGAAGTTGATTGCCCAACTTTCCTTCTGAGGAGTGGCTGGTGGGTTTGAACTGCCAGCCTTCTGGTTAGCAGTCAAGTGCCTTAGACACTATGCTACCAGAGCTCCTAGGTAAAATGAATAGAAGTTGAAAAAGAATAAGAGAATATTTAAAAAGTAGATATGTTAAAAACAATTGAAAATTATTTGGAGCCATTCATCTGGGAATTACAGGTTTTAAAAAGAAACTGATACAACAGATTTTTTTGATTGGATTGTGTTTGTGTTTGTATTTTCTGGTCATAGGGGAAGCTGCATGACCCTCAACTTATGGGAATTATCCCAAGGATCGCGCATGACATCTTTGATCATATCTATTCTATGGATGAAAACCTGGAATTTCATATCAAGGTAAGATGGAATCCCAACAGAAGAAGCAGCCAAAAATAATGTTTCTTAGACTTACCTTCTTTAAGTAGCTATAAAAGATGATCTTAGGGAATTTAAGCAACATCCCTGTAGCAAAGAAAGTGATATTTATTATTTAATGACTTTGATTTTTAGAAACAAGTTTAGGATTATTGGCTTGAAATATTGGGATAACTAAAGTGAAAACTCTCATTTAAGATGAGATCATCTTGTTAGTTGCCTGAATTGTACCCTTAACCTTGTGGATTTCTGTAGCTATGACTGGAATGTGTCCATGTTTGGATTAGGATAATGTTTCCCAAAGTGTGTTCCATAGAACATAGTTCCTCTTGTTTATAGGTGGGATATCAGAGATAAAAGGTTCTATGGCTGAGTAAGTTGGAAAACTGCTTTCTTGAACAATAGGAAATTTTCAGAAGCTTTAATGTGCTATTGTACAATTCAACTATCTAAACAGACATGGACTATATTTCATTTCTCAGCTTTATGTGACTGTGGACACATTTTTTTCCCTCAAAGTATGACATGGTAGTCTGAGGAGCATGTTCTGGAAGTGTTGAAGAAGAGAATGCTTCTCATTCTTCTTCTTCTCATTCTATTTTCATTTTTGTTGCTTTTTATTTTTATTACCACAACCTCTGTCCTGGCTTAAATTTGAACGGAAAGAGTGATTTTAATTTTCTTACTGCAGTTGTTAAGTCATAAAATTTGGCATTAGAGGTATATTCATTGGAATGTCTTTGTTTGTGACAGAAAGCCATTTATTTAAGGAAAGAGAGGAAGCTGTTCAAAGATACAGAACTTGATGGCAGGTTTTGGGGAAGAGTGGGGGGATGTGGAGATTTAGGAAATCCAGTCCTCGCTTTTATTTTCTTAACTTTTTAAAAATTTGAGATATAATTCACATACCATAAAATTTGTCCTTTTAAAGTATATGATGCAGTGGTATTTAGTGTATTTAAAAAGTTGTACAGCCATGACCATTATTTAATTCCAAAACATTTTCATCATCTTAAAAAGAAACCCATAGCCATTACAGTCACTGCTTTTTTGCCTTCTTGTTTTATTCCTTCTCTTGCCCCAGACTATCTTTCTCTTATTTGGAGAAAAGTGGAAGCTCTTGCCCCAAATTATTTTCTTTCCATTTCCAAATGCCTTAGGGAAAGGTCTTGTTGTCCTAGCTGGCATTTGGTGTTCATCCCTGGTCTGGTCCTGGCAGCTGTGACCCAGGAGAGAGTGTTGACAATGGGATAGAGTAAAGCAGGGGACATGGAGCTGAGCATATCAGCCAAGAGTTATCCCTTTTGGCTGGGACCTTAGTCCATTTGTTGTTGTTTTTGTTATGTGCCATTGAGTTGAATCTGACTCATAGCGACCCCTCCTTGGGTTTCTGAGGTGGTATCTCTACAGAAGTAGATTGCCCAACCTTCCTTCTGAGAAGTAGCTGGTGGGTTTGAACCTCCAGCCTTCTGGTTAGCAGTCAAGTGCCTTAGACACTATGCTAACAGAACTCCCATTAGGCCCTTCATTTTAGAAATAAGGAAGCTGAAGTTCATGGAAGTAGAATTAGATGGCCAAACTTATATACCAAGTTATTGCCAGAGGTGCAAATAGACCCTAGATCTTCCCACCACCCCCACATGCAGGACATTTTCCATTCTATTATCCTTCCTCCCTTATTTCTGCTCTGTACCTTTCCTAAATTACATAAAAACAAGGCAACAACTGTTTCCGCAATTGTAAATTACATCTGGAAAAATCCCCTTTCCTTACAGTTCCCTTTGTTGATTGAAGCCTGATTCTACTTCTTGCCAGGATTTTTATATCTTAGGCTACAGAAGCTGATCGCTTTGATGGGATCAAGATTTAGGAGCTTAGTGCATCTTTAAGGCTGTTTGCATTTAAATACTTTAAACTACTGCAGAGTTCTTATGTGGTAATCCTGGAGTAAGATGTTAAACCAATTACTGTCCTCAAAATAGTGTCTTGTATCAGAATCTTATTAAGATAAAAACAGCCCTAGCATAACAGGGGGAAAAAATACCACCTTCTAAGTCTCTAGGGCTGATTTTAACAGTCTACTCCTGTTATGCACTGTAATTATGTTCACATATTTCATAAATAATAATGGTTAAGTGGGTAAGTTAGCTGTTGACTATTCTGTGTTTTGAATTGAGTAGTGACAGGCTTAATCAAGATGAAGTCAACACTGAAAACCTGTCCTATAGGGGTTTTAGAACATTATTTCTGAATATGTTTTTTTCTTAATACCAAACAATACCTTGCTTCCACCTGGTCTCATAAATAATTTGAAAGGACAAAACAAAACAAAAATTCAACAAAATAACCAACATCTGCTGTGGTAAAAAGAAGTTCATAAATCAGAATTCTCTTTTTACTTAATGGGGACAGGATTCTAATTGCCCAGTTTGTTAAATATCATAGTTCATGATTGCTTTGTAGCTGCAATGAATTTTTTCTGTAATCTATGAAAATAAGCCCACATGTTTGAAATCTCAAAGTTAACAGAAAAGTCTTAATGAAAATCAAGCCAAGGTTGAGTTGGTTGCAGGAAGGGCCTAGTTAGAGATGTCTAGGAGCTCTGGTAGCATAGTGGCTAAGGCACTTGACTGCTAACCAGAAGGCTGGCGGTTCAAACCCACCAGCCACTCCTCGGAAGGAAGGTTGGGCAATCCTACTTCCGTAGTGATACTGCCTCGGAAACCCAAGGAGGGGTCGCTATGAGTCAGAGCTGACTCGACGGCACATAACAACAACAACAACAAAGGATTGGACCTCTAACCTGTAAGGGTTCAGGCAATGGGAAGAAGTATTCAACAGGTAGCAATGTGAGTGAATATAAACAGAGTGGCAGTGAGTCTTCTTACAAGCATTCAGGTAGGGGTCCACACTTCCCTCTACCTAGCAGTGGGATTGGGATTGGTCCACAGCTTCAATGTGGGGCAAGGTTTCATATCCCAGCTTTATAATTTGACAACTCTTCTCTTTTTGGTTCATTCCTTTATTTAGATTCCAGAAAAACTTACGTAGATGAGGGAGAGAAAAGCTAATCTAGGAGGCAAATGGCAGATGTAGACAGAGTACAGAATTCTAGAGGGACTTTTTTTTTCACATCCTCCAATCTATTACCTTCATTTGACAGATGGTAAATTGAGACTTAAGGTCTCGGTTATGTGTGAATTAATTGCTCAACATCACATATCTAGTTAACAGTGACTCTCAAAGGTCAGCAGTCCTAAGAACCAACTGGGGAGTTGAAGAGCAGATTCTTAGGTCTCATTCTCTGAGATTCTTGATTTGATAGGACTGTAATAGAAGGTTCAGTGTTCTGCAATTTGAACATATGATGTAGATAATGCTGGTGCAGGTGGGCTGGGGTTGAGGTGTGGGAATAATTAATTAGAATGCTTCTTTTTCCTCTCACAGTCTGATTGCCTTTCGTTAAATTGCATTTCATTCAAATCCTTCCTGGATTCCTCAGACTTGGCCCCCATCACCAGTCCTCCCCCAGTTCTTTCTAAGCACTTACCCTTTCTCCTCTCCTTGCTTCCTTGCTTCCTTCATGTGAATGTTTAGAACATGCTCTCCCCTGGTCTGATGAAGCTGGGAGTATCATGCTTGAAGCAGTTGCACTGCGTTTTGACAATTACTTGCAAAGGATGTTTTATATTCTGGTTATTGTCGTACCCGGAAAGTTGCTTGGTACTTATTTGAGGTCTAGCCTAGAGTCCTCTTATAAGTGGCTTCCTAGCACGTGATGTGAACAACACCTAAACTGACATTATAGGCAACTGTGATACGTGGGGATCGAGGGTGGCTCACCGTTGGGCAGGGAGGCACAGAGCAAGCAGACGAATCAGAAGCGGGAGGAGTATAGTAGAATCAGGCTAGAACTCTGCACTCCAAGATTCTCTGTCTCTTTACTTTGTATCCTCTCTTAGCTATGCATGACAGATGCTTTTATGTAAGTCCTAATAATGTTTTTAAAATACAGTATGGCATTTCTGTTTCAAACTCAATTTGTTTTTAACCAGGTTTCCTATTTTGAGATCTACTTGGACAAAATAAGGGACTTACTCGATGGTGAGTAACCTTGATGCTTGTCCTTTATTTGTTCTGTAACTAAAATCCAGAGAGATTGAAATGATTTATAGCACTTCTGCTTAAGGAATTAATGAAAATTTATAGAGATGTTCTATTGGTTCAGGTTGCATGCTTTTTCTCAGCAAGGCTTAAACTTGCATATTGCAAAGACTTAAACTTGCCTATCTTCTGTAACAACTTCTGTTTTTCCTCCGATATAGGGTCTTTAACTTTTCTTTTCTTCTTTGCATGTCATCATTATCATCCCTATAGTGTCCAAGACAAACTTGGCTGTTCATGAAGATAAAAACAGAGTCCCATATGTTAAGGTATGAGGAAGACTTGATTGGTGATGCAATTAATTTCTCTCCACTCACCTTCATAATTATTACATAAGATGCCCAGAATATTATCTGTAAAGGGCATATAGCTATTTAACCATGCCTTATATTTAATATTCATCTGGTTAAAAAAAATAGACCTTTAATCTCTTCAATTTTATCTGTCTTTTATGTATTTTATCACAAATGTCTATGTACATAAGAACTGCAGAAGAGAACATGTTTAATATTCACATTTAAAGAGGCTTTGGTATTGAGTAGCAGTGGTTTATATTTTGCAGTTAGGGAAAATCTTTCATAGCATTATGCCTAGAACTTCAAAGTCTCTAAACCTGGTGCCTAAAATGTTAAATAAATAAAGATGGAGGCCAAAGCCAAACTTTTCCATTTCTTCTTCTTCCATTGATTTTCTTCTTTTATTTTCCTGTATTCACTGCTGTTGAGTGTGAATATGTACTCAAAAATCTAAGAAAATCAGGCATGTATTTTATAATTTACTTTTGGTTTTCTAGGATTTACTCAAACTTTTCTTTAATGTAGAATGCAAGCCCTAGACAAGGAGGAAAAGTTCCTGGCTCTACATGTCAGCCTTGCTATTTATCTGCTCCTCTAGAAGAGAAATGCGAAAATGTTTAGCTGTTTTAAAATATTACTGCTGTTCAGTTTTTTTTTTTTTTTTTTTTAATGGTAAACCTGTGGACTCTTCCCAGGGGTGCACTGAACGGTTTGTGTCAAGCCCCGAAGAGGTCATGGATGTTATAGATGAAGGAAAAGCAAACCGACACGTAGCCGTAACAAGTAAGCATGGTGGTGGGGTGCTTCCCTGTCACTTAGGTTAAAAATGTCTGCTTACCAACCGGGGGGGCAGGCAGTGAGGCAGAGATGAAACAGTGGATGAACAAGCAGTTGGAAAAGCAGTGGCTCTGACAGAAGCATGAGGGGGTGTGCTGTAGGAGTCTGTCCAGGAGATCACGGGAAACTGCCTTATCTCCAGAGAGTTCTCTGAGGTCTGAGAAGTATTGCATGAGACTTATTGGACCTTGATGACATCCTAACCCTGAAATTGGGAAAATAAACAAAACCTTCCAACAAAAGGGGGAAAAAAACTTCTAAATTTATTTATTTTAGCCATGCTATTGTTTAATTTTTTTTTTTTTTAAATCCAAACCTGCAAATTCTATATGGTAGTCGTACATGTCAAAAGGAACCATGTTAGATTTTTGCCTTCTGTATAAAAGGAAAAGGCAGGCAAAGAAAACTCAGAAAGCAGATCTGGGAGTTTTATCATGAACTTTTAGATGTTGTGCTAATTACCAAACCAAAACCAAGCCCACTGCCATCAAGTTGACTCTGACTCATAGTGACCCTATAGGACCAAGCAGAACTGCCTCATAAGATTTCCAGGGTTGTAAAACTTTACAGAAGCAGATTGCCTCATCTTTCCCCTGCACAGTGGCAGGTGGGTTCTAGCCACTGACCTTTTGGTTAGCAGTCCAATGCCCTAGCCACTCTGCCACCAGAGACCCTTTATGCTAATTAGAGGTACATTCACATCAGTTCCTTTACCCCTTGTGGTTCCTTCCTAAGCATGCACGTCACATCTCAGGGAAGCAGATCATATGTTAGGGCAGAAGAAAGTCCATGAGAAGATTGGGATTTTCTGTCTTTTCCAGAGGTGTGTGGACAAATGAGTTTATAGGAAGAGGAGGAGCTGAAGGAACTAAAGAAAGCTTGAAGGAGAGAAAAAATTGGGGATGGGATATGGATAATGCAATATATTTTAACACATTCCAAGTGCTGTCCTTAAGAAAAAGGATCACCTGCTCTGTTTGGTCTGAATGGGGAGGACAATCTAGGATGTTGAAGCTATAGGGAGGCAGGTTTGACCGATTACAAAACTCTAATCCTTATAGCTGCCCCCAAGTAAAGACTGCTATACAGAGAGTTAGTCAGTTACCCATCATATTATAGAAGAGATTCTGGCATTGGCTGGCTGGCTGGTTTGTATTCTTTAAGTCTCTTCCAACCCAAGGTTGTATGAGTCTGTGATCCAGAACTGCAATTTTCAACCTTTACTCCAATAAATATATCAGATGGCATTCATATATGTGGCAAATTTATAGGTGAACCTGGACTTCTTTACAGTTCCTCTATGTCAGTTGAACTCCACTCCTTTCTTTCTGCTTAAAACACACACACACACACACACGTATATGAACATACATGCACATATGACAGAATGTAAGAGTGATATTCTTACAATAATAGCATTTCTCATTTATAAAAATGTTGTTTATTCTGTTTCTTAAACTATTATTGTTAGTTGTGGATTATTCATGGCATAGCTGACTGTTTGGGTCTAGAACATTACTATTTTTCTTACTCTGGTAAGGTGGTTTTAATAAATGAATGCCAGTGAGGGTTGAATGAGACAGCTTTTGGGGTCTCTTTCTGCCTGGAGGACAAGGTCCAGGGTCCAAAAACATTTTTATTTCCAGTACCCCATATAACGAAGGACATTTCATCTTTGAGAGCTTCTCTGTGTCCTCGCATGCATGAGGGGGTTAAATTGAGCCGGGGGGAATCCTATGAGCTTTTCAAGGTGAGGTTAGGCCTGAGTTGGGTCTTGCAGGATGGGGGTGGACTGAGCTAGAGAAATGGTTATCACCAACTTATGACTAATATTTTTAGGTAAATTTTTGTTCTACTTGGAGACATTTTGAATCTTTCATTTCTAGAACGAGCATCGGTTTTAGGAAGAAACAGTGGTCTCAGATAATGTTTAAAATTGGCTGAGCTTAAAAAAATGGAGCTATTGGACATGACTTATTTTGCTTTTTGGGTAAAGGGTTTGCTGCTTAAATTTCTGTGTTCTTTGTAGAATAGTAAACTCTCTTTCTTTTCAGACATGAATGAACACAGCTCTAGAAGTCACAGTATCTTCCTGATTAATATTAAACAAGAGAATGTAGAGACTGAAAAAAAACTCAGTGGGAAGCTTTATCTGGTTGATTTGGCTGGGAGCGAAAAGGTAATTGGTTCTTTATTTGTATTATCTCTAATTTTACCCTGTTATTTGCTTCAGTGTGCAATGGTATAATTTTTGTACCTTCCGATTCCATGGTTTTAAAGAGCTTTTAAAGTTTCTGATGTGCCAAGATGTTATTAAATTTAACCTTTGTTTTCCTGCTCTTTCTTTTCTGGTCCTGAATTCCCCTATTCATGTCACAGGCAAGAGCTTTGAATGCTAACTCTGATTTATGCCTAATAGGCTTTGGTGATGATGTTAGGCCAATGTTGTTCTGAACTTAACCTAGCAAAAGAAGCTGTGCAGATACAGGAGGAACAAAACTCGAGGAAAGGAAAGACCCTTGTGTTGTACCATTCTCAAGAAGGCCAGGAAAGGGCTTTGTCATTGGAATGTGATAGTCCTATTCTTGAAGGAGCCTTTTGCTGATAAAAGATCTGGAAACTGGGACACTCTTTGCATTTCCTGGTTCTCTTGGAAATAGGCATGGACTGACTATGTCTCATGTGAGTGACCTTGGCTCCTTAAGGCCAGCTGAGGCCAGTTGTCAATTTTTCAGTCGTACCTCTGATTGTTCTCTGGTTTATCAAGACTTTCTCTTTGGTATCTGTATCCATCACCTCCCAGGCACTGGCTCGGGTTATACTCCACTCCATATAATATATGCCTATCAGAATGTACAATCTATTCCCTACCAGTCCCACACCTGGCTGGGGGCACTAATTCCCCTCAGATGATATCACAGAGCAAGTCCATGCTCACAGTACCCTCTGGCCTCAATCATCATTAATATCATCTTGATTATCTCTGACAGGCTAGCTTTGAAGCTCAATCAGTCTCCTTAACTGTATTCCTCATTCTCACTTACTGTACCACATCCTCAGTTGCCTATATGCCATATTTGACCATGAAAATCCAAGTAAATAATGGCTACTTGCATTGTTCTCTTAAATGCTTTTGTAAAGCCATGAGCATAGAACATCTGGATATTCCTGGTTGAGACTCTAAAATTTCACTAGTATGGGCTTGTAACTTGATTTAAATAGAAAATCACCCAATGGGAATGATGGTACAGTATTTTTAGTTCTGCTGTTGTTAGTTTCTGTTGAGTTGGTTCCAATTCATGGCTCCCTTATGCACAACAGAAGAAACCATGCTCAGTTCTGTGCCATTTTCATGGTTGTTGGTATGTTTGGGTCCATTGTTTCAGATATTGTGTCAGTCCATTTCATCGAGGGTTTTCCTGATTCTCTATTTTATCAACCATGATGTCCTTCACCAGCAATTGGTCTTTCCTGATGTCATGTCCAAAGTTAGGGAACCAAAGTTTCTCCACCCTTGTTTCCAAGGAGCATTCTGTGTATTTCTTCTAAGACTAAATTGTTTGTTTTTCTGGTAGGCCACAGTACATTCAGTACTAGTTCTAGACTGACAATTAGCAATCAGGATTGGCTTTACTGACACATCAATTGCATGAATTGATGCAGAGACCCTGAGTGACCCCTTCATTCTTCCATGTTTGCCCTCTCTTTCCCTTTAGAGCCCAGAGATGGATATTGAGGGCCTATTTGCAGATAAAAAAGTGCTGGCAGTTCAGAGTGGAGGCCTGTCCTCTGCACCGTGTTGCTGGTTATTGCAAATGATGTTCATGAGGCATTTTAAAGTTGTGGTCCTTCACATAGTTCCTTTTGTTCACATCTATTTCTGTTTGCCTTGGATGTATCCACATAAACGTGTCAGTGTTATGTAGGAGAACAGAATGCAGGCATTGGTCCCTATCACCCCTAAATGGCCTTCTTCCCTTGGGCTGGCAATTTGACATCTCTGGAGCTCAGTTTCTTTGTCTGTAAAAGGAAGGCAATAGTACCTGTCTTGCATATTTCATGGAGTTAAGACACTTAAATCTGAAAGCACCTAGAAAAACACACAGTAAACAGACCGCTGTTATTTGTGACCCACCAGCTACATTGTTTCTCTGTCCTTAAGCATGGGTAACCACGTACATAATTCCAAGGAACTTAAGAATCTATCCCATTTGCAAAAATCTCCCCCAGGAAAGGCATTCATCTCTATCATTAGGAATTTCTCCTTTATATGTGATTGAAATCCATCTTTGTGCAGTTTAAAATAATTTCTCCTTTTCTTCAGAGAGCAGCTGCTCGCCAAGCATCGTTCAGCTAGTCAGCAGAGCTGTGAATCATGTTGAGTGCCCTCTTTTTTTCTAGCATCTGTAAACTGCTATATACCTAGAGCAAATGCTGTAAATATGAAATCACCAGTAATAACAAGCAGAGGAAGAACTGTGGTCCCTCTGGCTGCAGAAGAAATAAGACAAATTCACAGTGTAAAACATGTTTTCTTGACTTTCATGCCTCTTCAGATTTTTTGCTTTTTGAGTAATTATTACTTTTTTTTTTTCAACTATAAGAATGTCTTAGATACCCTGTGCTATCATAACAGGAATACCACAAAATCTCACAATTCTGGTATAAATAGACTACCAAGCATAATTCAAAATGCACCAACAGCAGAAGAGAAGCCAGATGATTGGGACCTTCTAAAAATTAAATGTTTAT